CGGGACATTTCCTTGCGAAGAACTTGCCCTGTGCAGTCTGGAGGGCAGACCAAGGGATTTCGTGGCCATTCCGTGAGCTGTGGCTGTGCCCTCTCCAACAGGGTCTCAGCTGGGCGGGGCAGGGGGAGGATCTCTTCCCTCCAAAACTCCCCTTCAGCCCTCCCAATATCAGCCCTATCCATCCCCATACGTTTTAGAGCTCTGTGTGCTTCCTTCTAGCCCATCTCTTGGTATAGTTAATCGTTTGGTACATTAATTTTTCCCTGTTCAAATTTTTGTCAGGTTTCTGTCTCTTAATAAGACTCTCGCTGATAATGAATGAATAAATGGAACTTCAATATTTCAAACTATTCCCAGAATTTTGTATGTTGTTTTTAAGATGAGTGATCCAAATTTTTAAGAAATGGCTATGTGTTAAATAGTTATACTCTTAACTATGGTTAATTAAATGAAGGGGTGCCTGGGTGGCTCAGTTATTTAAGCATCTCCGTTCTGCTCAGGTCATGTTCCCATATTCCAGGAATAGATCCCAGGATCTATCCCTGGGATAGATCCTGGCATTGGGCTCCTTGTTGGGGTGGGGGTGGGGGGTCCTGCTTCTCCCTCTCTGCTGCTCTCCCTACTTGTACTCTCTCTCTCTCCCTCTCAAATGAATAAATAAAAATCTTTTTAAAAATTAAATGAAGAAAATAGTAGGTACTGTGTAAATAGTTCTTCTTATGTTTCTAAAAATCTGTATGTATATTTGTAAATGCACAGAGTTCTGGAAGGATACACAAAACCCAGAGGGGTTATTACCTCTGGATAGAGGAGAGGGATGAAAGGAATGGGGAAGGATACTTTCATATTTTTGATGCTATATTTTCTATTTTAAAAATTTATACTGAGTACATGTTACTTTTATAATTTTAGGAATTAAATTCTTTGATTTGTGTGACTTGTCATAATTTTAACTTAAAAATTTGGTGATAGAATCTGGTGAGAGGAAAGGGAAGGAAACTGACTATTACTTTTTTTTTTTTTAAGAGATTTCATTTATTCATTTATTTGACAGAGAGCATGCACAGCAGGGGGAGCTGCAGAGGAAGAAGCAAGCTCCCCCCAGAGCAGGGAGGCCCATGTTGGGCTCAATCCCAGGATCCCAGGACCCCAGGATCATGACCTGAGCCAAAGGCAGAGGCTCAACTAACCGAGCACCCTGAAAACTGACTTTTATTCAGCACCTCCTCTATGCCAAACACTTTCCTTCTGTTATCTCATTTAATGATGAGAATAACTAGGTAAGAGAGACATTATTGTTCCTGTTTTACTACTAAGAAAACGGGCTCAGAGCAATTAAGCAATTTCTCAAGTTCATGTATTTGGAATTTTGACCTGGCCTTTTGGATTCCAAAGTGACTCTTCCAGTCTGGCCAGTATTTCTCAAACTGGGTTTCATAGGAGGGGGCCTCTGGGTGTGTGGTAAGGAAAAAACCACTTCTCATTCTGAACGTGGTAATATATGCACATACAACTCAAAATCTGCATCTTAAGAATCCGTGTTATATTCATGTTTGGAATGATGATGTTAGTTTTGACCAAACATTAACTATTAATTTAAATTATTATTATTATATCGAAATATTCTTGGCTTTATAGTTGTGTTTTAATTTAAATTTTAAATTTATTTGGGGGTTTAATACCTGGTTTCATGTTTATATATCAAGTAACATGGTAAAATAATTTAAAGGTCATCCCTGAGAGTAAAAAAGAATGTTTTCCTTTAAAGGGGCCTGTATACGACTCTAATTTGAGAAGATTGCTGTTATGTCATTCATTATGACATAAAAAGAACATTTTAAAACACCCTGGTGTTTTTTTGTTTGTTTGTTTTTATTTTGGGGGGGTGCCTGGGTAGCTCAATCAGTTGAGTGGCTGATTCTTGGCTTTGGCTGAGGTCATGATCACTGAGTCCTGGGATAGAGCCCTAGTTGGGACTCCCTGCTCAGCGGGGAGTCTGCTTCTCCCTCTTCCTCTGTTCCTCCCCACTGCTCATTCTCTCTCTCTCTCCCTTAAATAAATAAATTAAATCTAAAAAAAAGGATACCAGCAGCAAGTCCCTAGCAAGTATCCGCGTAAGGAAGGGCCATTCTACTCTGAGAAAACAGGCTGTCAGAAAGAAGAGGTCAATTTGGGTTCTGAAGAAAAATCTGCCACCTTGAGTCTGCTGGACACAAGCGGAGCCTTAGTCTCAATGTACAGTCAAAACGCCAGGCCCACAAAGCCCTAGATTGCAGCTTCAAATAATCTGGCTCAGGGCCACTGAGGGTGGATGATAGACATTTTTATGGACTCAGTATTGAGTTCTGGGAGCCAGCAGCCACGTCAGCAGCTAAAGGGCTTGCCCTCCTACCTTTGGGTGGAATCCAAGCCTTTTAATTTCAGGCAAGTCAACTGCTTCCTGATTTATGCATAACACTCTGGGAATGCCAATTACTGAGCCATAACATTGAAATGGTCATTTACAGGCAACACTAAGATAATGGAACAGTTGATGCCCTGTAAGAACAAAATGTATTTCTCCAAGTCTCAGACTGGCACAGGCCACTTCCTGATCCCCAGCCCCAGCCTGTGACAGTTGCCAAAGCTGTCTGCTCCCCCTTCCCTGCCCTGCTCAGTTCTCCCCCATCCCCACCTCCCCTTCCTCTCTTGCCTTCCCGCTCCCAGGCTGGAATCCCTTGGACCCTCCCCCAGGACATGTGGGACATGGAGGTACTCAGTGGATGTCTTTTATGGAAAGCCCTTCATTGGTTGCCACTCTCAGTTCCACAACTCCTCTCAGGGATGGCTCATTTTTAAATGGCAGAGGGTTGGTGTTTCGCAGACAATGTGATTTTTCCGGTGGCCCAAACTACCTTTGGAAAAAAGTCCTGGGAATAATCCAGAAGGTCACCGGGGTCTCCTCTGGGGTCTCCTCCGTTCTCTTTCTTTCTTACCCTCATCAACTCTACCTTTTTCAAACATCTCCGTGTTTTGTGGTTCCACCCTCTCTGTCAGGACTCCATCCCACATGAAGCTTGGCCCTGGCCCAACAGGGGGGTCCCTTACTACCCCTGCCCCTCTGCCTGTCCTCCTCTCCCGTGGCGGGGTATAGGGGGGCTGCTGCTCTCGCTGAGGGGACTGTTGGAAACAGGAAGCTGAAGGAAGAAATGTACACTTTACTTCAAAGTTTTATGTGGGAAGAAAAAAAAATTTTGCATTGCCAACTAGGAATAAGACCTTAGCAGGTAAGCCTTTGAGAGACAGTGAAAGTGAATCCTAAAATTTTCATGGAGCATTTTTCTGAAAAAATTTTACAGAAACATATAAAATGACACACTGTGTCTTTTTATGTGTCATGATCTCAGGGTCCTAGAATCAAGCCCCGCATCCGGCTCTCTGCTCAGCGGGGAGCCTGCTTCCCCCGCCCCCACCTGCTTGTGATCTCTCTCTCTCTCTCTGTCAAATAAATAAATAAAATCTTAAAAAAATAATAAATGAAGAAGAGATCACACAGATTTTTTTCTGTACTCAGTCATATAACCCAGTACACAGGGGTCCTGTACTGGGGCCTCTGAACAAAGGCCTGTAGGAACCAGGAAGTTAAGAGGATGAGAGCCAACTTCAGAGAAGGACAGAGACTGGTCTGCTCCAGCCAGTTCTTGCCACAGGACTTGGAACCATTGTTGCCAGCTGTGATTTTTCAAGAGAAGTTTTAAAATCCAATTTGTGTGTCTTTTGTGAGAATGTGTATATGAAATCTCTGTTTTTAGTTTTTAGTTTTTGAAATCTCTGTTTTTAAATGTTGGCTTAATGTTTTCCAAAGCAGACCAAACAAAACTTACATTTCACCTCTGTTCTGGATTTAGAGAATCTATTCAGAATAAAGGGGATAAGAGTCAAATCAGTGAAATAATAAGTACTTATGTTTAGGTTTTCCTACGTACAGTAGAAAACATTGCTTCTGGTCCAAATGCAGTTATAATCTCCATATATAAGTTAGCAATTCACAATTTAAGTTCCCTTTGATATAATTTGTATGGTTCAATCTTCTTTATCCTTTGTCCTTTTTTGTTGTTGTTAAAGACGCACTTTTTTTTTAAAGATTTTATTTACTTATTGGAGAGAGAGACAGAGATAGCAAGAGAGAGCAGAAGCAGGAAGGAGAGGGAGCAGCAGGCTCCTTGCTGAGCAGGGAGCCCAACGTGGGTCTCTATCCCAGGACCCTGGAATCATGACCTGAGCCAAAGGCAGATGCTTAACCAACTGAGCCACCAAGGCACCCCAATACACATTTATTTGAGAGAGAGAGAGAGAGAGAGAGAGAGACACCAGTGGGGGGGGGGTGCAGAGGGAGAAGAGAAGCAAACTCCCAGCTGAGCACAGAGCCTCAAGTGGGCTCAATCCCATGACCCCAAGACCCCAAAAGACCATGACCTGAGCTGAAATCAAGAGTCAGAGGCTTAACCAACTGAGTCACCCAGGCGCCCCTATTCTGTATCCTTTTTTCAATGTCAGATTGAAGTTTTGGTTTTCAGCATCCACTGGGCTGACTTTGTTGCTCCCAAACCCCTAACTGAGAAAGGTCAAGTCTGTCTTTCCTGTCAGAACATGCACACTTGTATCCAGTGTAGCAGGCTAGGGTGAGGGGGGAGACAGATGAATAATAGGGGCTTTCCTCCAACCTCTACCTGGGGATTTTCTAAGACACTGTTGTCAGAAAAGGAAACACAGCTCAGAGTGGCTGTGCGGAAGAATCTCATCCTTCATGTTGCAAATTACTACCATTCCCGTTCAAATGAGGTTTCTTCCTTCTTGAAGGTCGAGAACTTAAATCTTGTAGGTAATTGGAAATTCCTGCCCGAGGAGATCAAACTTCGTGCCCCACATTGCCGCCAGCCCCTCACTCCTTCCAGCTCCATCTTGAGAAGCAGTACCCCCTCTTTCCCCTGGAGGCTTAGAGAGACAGCACCCCCACTCACCTTCTGAGTTGGGAAGGGCCACACAGGTGACCAAGACCATGAGAGCGAGTCCTGTCTGCTGCATTCCTGCCTGCCTCCCCAGCCCGGGCTGCACTGTGGGTGAGGCTAGAGGATCAGGAAATGGGGCTGGAGGTGGCCTTGGGAGCAGAACATGTGGAGGAAAAGGAAGCCAGGAAGCCCCGCCCCCTGAGGTGCTGGGGTACCTACTTCTCATGTTTCTTTCCTTGAGACCGTTTCATTCTTAAGACCCGACCTTTCTGGTCTAGTGAGGTCATCCTGGTCAGACTCCTCGGGGTCCGGCAATGTCAGCGGGGATCTGGCAGTGGGTGAGGCCATTGTGAGTTGGGGGTGTGCATCAGAATCACATGGGAACCATTAAAAAATAGTGATCTACTTGAATTCCTCCCCAAACCTATAAATCAGGATTGGAGGTGGGGGGGGGCATCATTTGAGTTCTTTGGAAGATCCATAGGTGATTCTGATGGACACCTCTATCGAGAACCATGGCCTAAAGGAATCCGAGTGTTTTAAGTAACTTGGTGAAACTAAGAGTTTCTGGTTTCGGGGACAAGGGTGACAAGTCATAAAAAAAAATTATCTGATGGAAAGATATGGAAAAATTCAACCTCACTGTGGTCTTGGTTTACAGCCAAATTATTTCCAGTGGAGCTGTTAGTCTATTTAGGAGGAAAGTAAGACAGGTTAGAAACTCTTCTTCCCTCTAGGCTTGCCTAGTAGAAAAGAGAGGTCCAGAACAGGTGTGACAGGAATAAGGAGGTGTGAGTCTGGTCCAACTTTGTTGCTAATCAGCTTTGAGAATAAGACCATAGGGTAGGGTGAGGATAATTGGAATCTTATCCTGCCTTTTTTACTAACTGGTTTCATAACCTCTGAGTATGTATTTAACTTTTCTGTAAATAAGGAGTCAGCCTGGACAATCTCCAAAATCCTGCTATACTTCCTCTATAATTGCTGTGTTTCGTGCAGTAGCCTTTGTTCACGTGTGGCCCCCGTACATTTAAAATGTGCCAGTCCAAATTCAGATGCACTATGAGCACAAAATACACACCAGATTTCAAAGACTTAGTACAAAATATATGAAATACTTCATTAACTTTCATATTGATTACATGCTGAAATGTAATTGGGTATAAATGTATTTGGATATATTAAGTAGAATAAAATACTACTAAAATTAACTTCCCTTGTTTCTTTTTATTTTTTTCATGACTACTCGGAAAACTTTAAGTTATGTAGGTAGCTTACTTTATATTTGCATTGGGCAGTTGCTTTGTAAGGTCAAGAGTGCGAGGTCAGAATTGTCCCCCAGCTGTCAAGACATGGTACTTACACAAGCTCCAGTTTCACCATTAAGAACAGCTGGGCATAAAGGAGGATAAAATCTTGCCATTTGCAATGACATGGACAGATCCAGAGTGTATGATGCTAAATGAAATAAATCAGTCAGAGAAAGACAAATACCATCTGATTTCACTCATGTATAGAATTTAAGAAATCAAACAGACAAATAAAATAAGACACAAGCAAAAAACCAGATTCCTAAAATACAGAGAACAAACTGGTGGTTTCCAAAGGGGTGATGGGTAAGGAGGTGGGGAAAAAGGTGAAGAGGGTTAAGAGCACACTGACGATGAACACTGAGTTGTATAGAATTCTTGAAACATTCTGTACATTAGTCTCAGGTGAGACTAATATGACACTGAAGGTCAGTTATACTTCAATTTTAAAAAATAAAAAAAAAATTTTTAAAAAGAAAGAGAAGCAAAAAGAAAAAGGACGGGAGCTATAATAAACTAGCAAATGGGAGCAAAGATGGCAGCCTGAAGACCCAGTTCCGCGGAGCAGCAGTTCCAGACTCTGCCACCAAGCAAGGGGTCCCTTCCACACATCTAGGAAACAGCACAGAGAACCTGTGGAGGTGACCTGCTTCTCCACAGTAGAAAAAAGCCTCTGTTCAGATAGAATGAAGGGTGACTATTGGATAACCCAGAGAGATTTTTAATCCAACAGGAAGGCTGGGCTCCATTTTTTTTTTTTTTTTAAGATTTTATCTACTTATTTGACAGAGAGAGACACAGCGAGAGAGGGAACACAAGCAGGGGGAGTGGGAGAGGGAGAAGAAGGCTTCCTGCTGAGCAGGGAGCCCAATGTGGGGCTCAATCCCAGGACCCTGGGATCATGACCTGAGCCAAAGGCTGACGCCTAACAGCTGAGCCACCCAGGCGCCCCTGGGCTCCATTTATAATCCAACAAGAAGGCTGGGCTCAGTGTACTTACCCTTGTGTTCTTATTTGCTTCTCTATTTGATGGGACAGTTTCCATTTCACCATGTGCTGCTCTTCTGGTAGGGAATGTCACCGAAGGATTTCCAGGAAGAAGGCAGAGGGACAGAATGCAAACACTTGGAGGATACTGGGGCTCCTCCTTGAATTGTCTCAGGTGATTAGCATTTTCCCTCTCCTTCCCGATTCTTCCCCAGGGAGCCACTGCAATGAGATGGTGGTATGTCAGACAGAGAGCACTCCTGAAATTACCACCATTAGAACAACCGCCTTGGGGTAAGTCTGTTACGTCAGCCTGCTGTTAACAGGCAAGACTTTTTTCCATTGGACAATAGAAGGAATTTGAGAGGCAGAGTGGAGAGTTTGGGGGGTAAAGAAGGGAAAAATGAAACAAGTTGGGATTGGGAGGGAGACAAACCATAAGAGATTCTTAATCTCACAAAACAAACTGAGGGTTGCGGGACCGGGGTGGGGGGTTGGTGAGGAAGTAGGGAGAGGGTGGTTGGGTTATGGACATTGGGGAGGGTATGTGCTATGGTGAGTGCTGTGAAGTGTGTAAGCCTGACGATTCACAGACCTGTACCCCTGGGGCTAATAATACATTATATGTTAATAAAAAAATTAAAATAAAATTAAGTAAATAACACTGCTACTTAAAAAAAAAAAAAAAGGCAAGCCTGACACCCACCAGCAGGAACCAATAAACCACTGGAAAACCCTCTGCTGTATTGTTATGTAACAAGAATGAGAGGAATGCTGGGCAGATCAGTTCGATTGGAGTGAGGGCAAATGGAAGGATGGAATTTTTGCCTGAGGAACACATGGTACAAGCTACAGTTATGGGGTATGTGTGTCTGTGTGTGACAGGATGTTCACTAGGTAGTGAACACGGACCAGAATTTACTTGGAAGGAGTCTCAAAAGCGAGATCAGGAGTGCCTGTGTGGCTCAGTCAGTTAAGCCTGTCTTCAGCTCAGGCCATGATCCCAGGGTGCTGGGATCAAGTCCCGAATCAGGCTCCCTGATTAGCGGAGTGTCTGCTTCTCTCTCTCTCCCTCTGCCCATCCCCACTGCTCATGGTTTCCCTTTCTCACACGATCTCTCTCTCTCTCTCTCAAATAAATAAACAAAATCTTAAAAAAAAAAAAAGTGAGATCAGAACAACTTTGAGGGGGTATAGCTCAGTGGTAGAGCATTTGGCTGCAGAACAACTTTGATTATTTAAGTATTTTTATCTGGGCTTGGAGCTTCTATAAAACCAAGTGAGGAGAAGCCTGGGAACTGTGCCTTTAGGATCTAGGGGAGAGTTGGAGGGTAGAGCCATAGAATGAAACCGTTTCAGGATAACCTAAAACTATGTATCATTTTGTGTTTTCCATTGTGAAATGTCCCTGGCTAAGGATGTCAGGATGCAAATTTAAAAAAAACAATTCTCTTTTAAATTTTACCAGGAAAAAACAAATCATTTCACCTTAAAGAAAAGTAAGTATAAACCTCAGACTTTCATAGAAATACCCGATACCATCCACTCTGTAGGTAAAATGCAGTGGATTAAGAGGATGAAAATTTCTAAACAGTAGCTTTCACAAAATAAAATTAAGCCAGTGAACTTCTCTTGAAGATATGTTTTGAAAATAAGTAGATAGATGGACTATTTTGAAAATGATGTCAGGGGCACCTGGGTGGCTCAGCCAGTTAAGCATCTGCCTTCAGCTCAGGTCATGATCCCTGGGTCCTGGGATCCAGCCCTGCATGGAGCCCCATATCTGGTTCCCTGCTCAGCAGGGAGCCTGCGTCTACCCCCCCCTCTGTCTGCCACTCCTCCTGCTTATGCTCTCTCTCTTTCCATCAAATAAATAAAATCTTAAAAAGAAAAAAAAGACAATATCAGCATGTCTTGTCTCAGAAGAATTTACAGTTCTTCGTAAATGAACCTCCTGGTTCATTGAATCTTCTGGTATCGAGAAAAATCATCTTTTAATATGTATGCTATTTGAGTTCAGATTTTTAATGGATTTGATGAAACAGGGCAGAGACAAACAGGGATCTCATATTAAAAACCAGGGTCCAAGTATTTCATGGCAGACTCTGAGTTACAATGTTAGTAATTGTATGCTATCTTTTCTGACTACAAAATGATGTTAGATCCGTTGTAGAAAATTTGGAGCGTGTAGAAAAATATAAGGAAGAAAAATGTTTAGATATCCAGAAATAAGCTTTCTTAACGTGTTGGTGCATATCCTTCCAGTCTTCTTTCTATGAAGGTCTAGTTATTCATACACTGACTAAACTTTTACTGGGATTCTCCTATGTGCAAGATGTTGTAGAGGGGCCATGGTCTCTAGCGCAGGGAGGACCGGATTATTAGGCAAGCCATAACAATAGTCTGCTAAGTGCCAATACTGGCAAGTGCTTAGGGCACTCAGAGCAGGGACGTTTCACCCTGTCTGGAAATGAACCAGCTGGAAAAGATGCCCTCCCCCACCCCCTTTAAAGTAGGCTTCATGCCTAGGATGGAACCCAATGCAGGGTTTGAAACTCACGATCTTGAGATCAAGACCTGAGCTGAGATCAAGAGTCTGACACTGAAACGACTGAGCTATCCAGTCTTTTTAACTCTTGTGCCGTTTAGTATTTCATCATACAGAGATATTGTATTTTATTGAACCCACCTCTTAATACTGAACTTCTATTCTAGATTGTGGATTTTTTTCCCACTATCATCAATAATTCTTCATCAGATCACTTCCATAATTCAAACTTTTATGTCGATTCTTCAGAATAAATTTTGAAAAGCAGAATTGCATGGTTAAAGATTATAGTTATTTGAAAGGCTTTTGATACATACTCAGGCTAAGCTGAAAATTTTACCTACATGTTTTTCTCCAATACTTTGTACAGTTTTCCAGTGTCCTGCAACGATGGCTCTAATGATACAAAGCAAATCATGTGCTTTAAAATGGTTTTGGAGAGCACATGGCAGGGAGCTCTGTCCTCTGATCTCTTTCCCAAGTCTGGATTTAAAAATTTTCTT